TCTCTGCTGCACTTTGTCTGTATTGAATGTCATATTCTTTTCCAGAATATTTCTCCAGTTTGTCAAAATCACTTTGAATTTAAACCTATCTATCTTCCACTACCATACTCAAATTGAATAAACACACTTTCTATTCTGTAATCCAGATTGTTAGCAAGAACTTTGGCAGATTCAGATCCAGGACAGATCCTTGCGAGCTCTGCAGAATGTATCCTCCCACATTTGACAGTGAGCCATTGAGACTTTATTCTCTGTGTAGGTTTCCAAGCAATTTTGCACTCACCCCCAATAGTTTTAAGACCTACACAACCTAATCTTGCTTAGAAGAATATCATGTGCAAGGCTTTGCTCTATCTGTTGTCTTAGTGACAAAGGAGATGTTTCGTTATTTTCTTTTCACCCCTACCAGGCCATAGGAACCAACAGGAGGCCTGAGCAAGCACTGATACTTTTTGAGTGTAGCAGCTAACCAAGAAGGTATTCACTTCAACCACAACTAAAAATTATGGTTTGGTATTCATGAGGTGAATCCGCCAAAGGATTAGAAGTATTTACTAACTCAAAGGGCATTGTTCTTTTTGCCAGAAATTTCATTTACTTTTTTTAGCTAGTCATCCAAGGTAAGGAAACTTACCTTGTATGTAAAGATGTTGAGTCAGTTGCCTTTTTGTCTGAAGCGATTCAACCTGGAAGTTCTTCCACTCAGTGATAGCTTGAACCAGACTAAGTACAGAACTGACTGTTATGAGGTCATATAATAATAACTGTATGGAAAGAGTAGCACTGCTGGCAGGAAAGATTTAGGAGACGTTGCATTTTGGAATTCCACAGTGTGCTGATTTAAGTCCCTCTCTGGAGGTAGAAGTTTGCATTCAGTCTCAGGAGATGAAATTCAGTTTAGTTTCCTGAATCCTGACAGTGATTCTGTAGTAAGGGCCATAGTCCACACTGGCAAATTCAGGACTGGTCTGTAAAGTCAAGTACATTTTTCATACAATCATAAGCCACCCAGCCCTAATAAGAATTGCTGAATTTTAAGAAGCTAAGCTTGCTTAAAGGAAAGAAGAAATAAAAAAAAAGCCTCACTGTTCTGTGCATTAAAAGCTTGAACCCAATATCAAGGCAAGCAGCAACGTTTGCTTGCCCTAGAGGAACCAGTAGGAAAGCTGCAGAATATCCAGTTTCTTCAGTGGGAATAACTTCAACCCTTGAAGTATTTGCTATTTGAAATCTCAAGCCACATATGAAAAAGAATGAAAGAGGTGTCTTACGAAACTATGCACACTTTGGCATCATAATTAAACGTATTGGGGACATATTTTCACCTCCCCTTTTTCTGAGTTACAAATTCTGCAAAGACTTCTGAGACAGCTTAGGACAAAAAATCAGACCTGTGTGTAAAACATCCTAGTAGGGATGAGACCTATCTAGCGAGACCAGTACAAGAAGCTGTTCAACTGTGCATTTGAAACCTAGAAGCTGAACTCAAGACAGCTTGCATGGTAAATTTTTAAAGATCAAAGCTCTACATATGGAATTACTCAAAAGATACCCCTGCTCACGGCTAGTCAATACTCTTTATACAAAAAGCCACTCTCCAGTGCATAAGCTATTACAGGGGCTGAATTTTGCAGTCACATGAAAGATAAAGTATCCAACTTCATGTTTGCTGTTACAAGCAGCAGAGGTTGAAGTGCTCCAAACAAAGAATGAATCTAGGGAAATGATGATTAATAGTCTGTAATTTTGATATATAAAAGAGTGAATAAAGGTAATGGAATGGGAATTTTCTTTGATTACCGTATGTAGGTCCAGGTAAGTTAGGATGTGAAATGACCAGGTCTGTTCCCATGTTTTGTTTCAATCTGCTTAGCTAGAGACAAAATGTAGTACACTTTTAAAAAACACTTTCGGGGGGGGGGAAGGGGGGGAGGAGGAGAAGGAGTTCTTCTACTAGTATAACCCAGATCTGAAAGAGAGTTGCTAACAGTCAGTGTTTTTGATATTTAGGGGAGGGACATGTTTTTATCATGGTTGTTTTTCATCCTTAGACCTCCTTGTGTCCCTCACTGAGTATCACACCCTCTCTCTGCATCACTTGTCTTAAAATAGACCAACACCTCAAGGGAAACGCGTGACGCTGGTGGCATACTAGAAATAAAAAAGAGATATTGCGAAATATTCCATTATATTACTGAACGTTCCAATACATGATATTGCTATCATATTGCTAAAAATGAGATTTCAATATGATAGTAAAGAACTCTTTTACAAAAGTTCAAAATCGAGGATCCTCCAGGCTCCTACAAATAATGTATTTTCAGTGTATCCTGCACAGAAAAGTGTCAACCCCTTTTCCTCAAAAACTGAAATGCTCATTTATATATAGACTCTGGCTATAAATAACAATACATATAGCAACTTTTTTTTTTTTGACCTTCTGTTTCTAAGTCATTTTGGCCTCCTCTGTCTCCAGTTTTGTCACCAAGTTTCAAAATCATCATCACATATTTGTACTGTTGCTAACTGTGGAAATACTTAGTTGTTGTTTTTTTCTTACAATCAAACTCTTGCTCTCAGAATTAAATGAAAATTTCAGCTAAAAAGGAAAGCTAAGAGCCCTCCTACTCACATACGAAATACAGAAATACAAGCCTCAGAGAAAAAAAAATTCTAGAGAAGTTTCTTTTAGCAAGATTTTTGAATATTTACTTCTATTTCTTCAGTTATTGGGTTTGGCAATATTGCATGGAGCCAATAACATTTTCTTGGGAAGTACACTCCAAACATTTATTAAAATCTAGTTATTATAAATTCGAAGAGCTTTTTTTTCAGCCTGAAGAGATTTTCCAGTTATAGTACAGTTAAAGGTCCATCACCTTAAATCAGAAGTTTAATAGCAGTGAAAACAACTAAATTATATCAAAGGGTTTTGGGGGAGGGGTAAAGAGGAGATGATTCCTCCCCAAAACCTTTGGCATTTAGAAAACAATGTCACTCCTATTCCAGAATTCTAAAGTTTGGTGTAAATCCCAAAGAAAAACTATTGCTCCAGTAGAAGTCCTATAGAACTCAAATGAGTAATGCTAAAGCCATGAATTATTTCCACTTTCAAATCTTTATTCTGTTTGACTAGCAGGATGATTGATGGTTGCCGTTTCATTGTTGCTGCGCCACTATAAACTCAAGAAAGCAAACAAAAATGCTGATAGGTCAGACTTCTTGCCAGTTACCTCACAAGCTGCAGATTCCCTACTGCACAAAAGAAATCACTAAAATGTAAGGGTAATCAGAAAAGTTTATTTTGAGAGAGAATATTTGTACGATGTCAAATATGTTTAAATAGCTCAGTTCAGTAATCATAAAATACTGGTGTCAGGAAAAACGGTTCCTCATTCTTCCTTTCACAAAAATCCACAGTAATCTGGACCTAAATATGGTGCAGGAAAATGGCATTGCAGGAAGCTGGATGAAAAAAAGTTAGCTTCTTTTAGATCATCTTTTTCAACAAACAAAAGCAATATATTAGCTGTACAAGAACAGAATAAACTCAGCTCTGTGTTAGCTAGGAAAAGCATTCATCTTTTTCGAAAATTAAACCCTCTTTTAGGTCTTCTCTCTGGCTGATTTCAGAGAGCCTGCTATACACTTTCCAAAAATCTAGTAAGGCCTCAGATCAACATTACTCTTTTTATACCCAAAAGAGTTTCCTTTGTCTGATAATATGCAGGGCTTTTGCACTCTCATCACACGACCTGATCCAGGTTAGATCTAAAATAGCCTTTTATTATTGGAAATAAAGCAATACATTCTGCAAAGCTTCCCTAACAAGACTGAAAGTCTCACTAAATTTGTTAAATGCGCAGGCTACTTCAAAGAGTAGCAGCTGTCACCTTTAGTTCTGATTTCTGCCTCAAGACATTGCCAATAAACTTAAGAGAAGGGAATGGGCAAGAGGGGGCTTCACACTGCTTAGTTGTCCACCTGCTCCCAGGGCTGTTTTGAACTGCTCCAAACATTTCTCTGCAAGACAAGGCCCAGGTCTGGCACTGGGAATCATTCGTTTCAGTTACCTATATTAAAGGACAGAACAAGACAGAATGGATGAGACTGCACCAGGTCTTAGCTTCTCCATCATCTTTCAGTGCTCTCTCAATGTCCAAAATGCCTCCCCATGCTTCCTGCCGTTCTCGAGGATACACTACATACCCTCACAGTTTCCTGCTATAAAAATGTCACTCTGATGATTCGTACAGGGCCCTCACATTATTTCAAATACTTTGAACAGAAAAAGTATAAACCATTGCGATTATGTTTTAGAGCTGCCGGTGCATCACATGGTGATCAGAGGAGACATAGGTCTGCATACGCTTTAGTGAGGACACGGCCCATATACTCTAGGGTGGATTGGCTCCAAGTTGTGTGGACAGAAGAACACTATGCTATTTCTTTGTACAGAAAGGACTTCAGAAGCTGAGTCAATTAAGGCTGAGGGAAAGGGGCCACCCAAAATATGTTTTTCCCATTTCCCAACACTTTAAAGCTATACAAGCACTTACAGAGTTTGATTTGTTAGGAAACTGGGCAATTGAGTGAGTTTTGTATTAGACTAAGTTTCTCAATCGCCTCAGTTTTGTAAGGTCAAGGCCAGTTCTTTGATTCTGTCATGCATTTAATGGGCACCTCCATGCCCTGTGCTCAGGAGTCTTGCAAGCTAATAATGATAATAGCAATCTATGCTGGCTGCAACTGGCACAAGTAGAAATATGATTGGGATTCTCCTTTTCACAAGAAAAATCTATCTGAATGGTGGAATGAAGCTTTACAGAATTCCTGGCAGCCCTCTAACCTAGTGAAAAGATATGAAATTAACCTTTATTATATTATAAATATTATAAAATTAACGTAATATAATGTAAGCTATAAAAGATACAGAAATTAAATCAGTCAAGACACCTTGGGCCAAAGATGTTCTACTTTAATTTGCAGTGAGCATTCTGTGAGCATTTGCTGTGTTTCTGAAGAACAGGTACCGTTCTGGGATCGCTATGGCCCTCTGAAATTTCCTACTGTGGTCAGTCAGCTAAACCACTTGCTTCCACTGTCCTCCCTGCCCAGCTTGCTGTAAGTCTTAAAGCATGGAAATAATACTGATATATGCCAGTTGTGTTTTGTGGGTGTTGAGTTTATGAAATGTTCTTTAGTGGCCTGTACCTTTTCCCCTCCCAGTTGTGTCAAGAGATCAAGAAGTCAGCTTAAACAAGGGAACAAACTAAAATGTTGGTTCACTACTAACAGTACAATGCTAATAAGGTGTAATATTTCCTTAACTCATAGTTTAACTATTCATTTCTGTGAAGGATACCTAGGACAACAAATGCTATATAATACTTCCTCCAACTAGAAGATGAAGAAACTGTCAAATGAAGATTATAATACAGATGGCTCTGGTTCCATCAATGCAACTTTCTAGTATATACCTATTCAAAACCACAGCGCAAGTGAGGAGTGTATTTATACCACATTACTAGAAGACAGCAATACACTGAATTCCATCATGAACAGTAGCAAAGCATCACAGATGCCATAGATGGCAAGGTGATGGCTTCATACGTTCTGGCTGCAACCCAACAATTACATAACCTGGATTTTAATGACTATGTATTGCTCTATCATTAAGGAGAAGAATGTCATTGGATTTAATATTATCCTCACCAAATCCAGTGATTTTCGATGAACTGTGTGAATCGAATTTGCAATACTTACTCCACTATATTCAAGTTAGGAAATAAACGCTGAAAGAAATCAAGATCAAGATAGTTTATATCAGAAAGTATTTTTCTAAGAGGTATTTGTGAGAGTTTTTTCTACTTTTTAATGATACCATGCTTGACATTTTACATACAAATGTGAAAGAGCAGAGACAAGCCAATCGAAGATAAAACAGAAAGGACTAGAATGGTACTCATAGAAATGCTTACTAGCGTTTTCATAACTAGTAGTTACTGTCAGATTGATCTTACTAACCAGATGTGTAGAATCTTCCATGGGAGTTGTTCTCCACATTTCAAAAGAGCTATTAAGAGATCTGGAAGATTTTTTTTGACTATTACAATTCAGATACCGTCGACTGTCTTTTCAGTCTCAGACTTCATTCAGGCTCACAGAAGCTTCAACAATAGTAGAAGTCAGAAGACATTAAAGGGTCAAATATAAAAAAATACACACATCATTGACCATTATGAAAGAACTAACCAAAGAGCTTGATTAAAAGCTTATTGAAGTTTTTGAATTAAAACCACTGATTTCAATTACTTTTACATATGGACTAAGGTGAGCAACTAGGGGATTAATGGCTATTAGACTGTAAAAAAACACTACATCGATCTGAATGGCACTAAACGTAAAGCAGCCCAAGATTTTTTTCCCCTTCTACCCTGAATAAGAGACAAAACAGTAACTATCAAGAAACTGGACGCAGGCATATTTCAACAAATATGCCAGTGTTTTCATGAGCACGTGCTCATCCCTTTCATGAATCTTCATGAGAGCTGGCAACTTCTGGTATTAAAATATCCACAAATCCAACTTTTTGAAATACCCAGATTACTGCATATTCTATACCTTGTTTTGCCTCCAATGGTTAGAAACAGCATCAGGCACTGGAGGCTGCTGTAACTTAACTTGAGAGTTGATTGTCCTTAGATAACACTGAACATGGGGTAAGCCAATAACATCCTGCGCTTCTGTAACACGAATCAATAAGCACTCTGTCCTCTTCTTTCACTGCAGAGTTAGAGCTCTTGAACACATATATCTGGCTTGAAGTTTTCCCTTAAAGTGAGAACAAGAACAGCTTCATTTTAGCTATAGCAAACTGGTATAAATGAGAGGTGAATCAGGCTACAGGTATTAGAAGAGAATTCTTCTGTGCGGCTTGACAAACTTTTTGAAAAAACAGCATTCTGCAGTAGATCTGTTCTACCATGGTAATGTCTAATCTTAGGAAATGTAGTTTAGACGTTTTCCCCCTCATTATTTAGAGGAAATATTTTTTATAACTAGGATATAGAGGACCCTCCACACTTCAAGGAGAAAATTTTAATCAATTAGTACAATATCAGAAGGAACATTCCATATTCAAGGATATAAATAACTAAGAATAGAGCCAGATGGGTTTTCCAAAAATTTTCAGCACTGAAGTAAAAACACTTCCTGTGTTTTAAATGAACGGCACCGACATGAATTTACATAGATAATATTAGAGCTAAACTAACCTAATCCTGCTCTCAGTGACAACTGGAGGAAGACTACAATCATTCAGAAGACTAGGGAATGTCTCACTGCAACATCATCTGTTTCATCTGCTCTTCAAAAATCTGTAGGAAAAAGGTTAACCCTATTATCCTCAGCACCATCAATAATGTTTATCTACTTTGGCACTAACTAAATACTGTACAAAACTGATACAGGCCCCTGATCCAAAGACCATACAACGGACACGTGAAAGCATGTCATACAAAGTTAGAAGTTTCTTATAAAATCTTAAAATTCATGTTACCAAATTATCACACCTGAGTTAAATGATTTCAAGCCTTTGGTAACTCACCAGAGTAGTAGGAACTGGTGATATATATTTTAAGCTTTTCAAGACTGGCACCTAAGGGTAAGGCTGCAGATACAAGATATGAAGGACTTAAAATATCATGCCATCTCAGGCTACTCTGCAATGAAGTGCATTCTTTTAGATACCTTTTAGGTATAAGAACAAGTTAAAATATCACCTCTTCTTTCTTTCAGGTCTCATATCATGACTTTCTGCTAGCAGAGAACTTCCTTGCCAAGATAACAGTACCCATCCGTCATTCACCCTTCATGTTTCTTAAAGGAGCTAAAAAGCCTCACAGTTTCCATGAATAACAATGACACATACTCTTGTATCTCACAAAAAGGTGCAAATTTTATTGATCAAAAAGGGAAAAAACCCACAGAGTTTAAGTAGTTTTCTGAGCACTGCTTATGTCTGGGTTTGAGCAAAGACGGAACTGCCATTGTGCATGAGTCAACCAGCCTGCTTACTTAGTTATAATGTAATTGCTGACTTAGGTCACTGTAAGTAAGGTCCTGTCTTCTCTACGAACACAAATCTCTTTTGATACCAACAAAAGATAAGATTATTTTGTTACCAATTGATTCTTTTACAAGAAAGATGCTTTTGTATTTTACATGAGCCCTTGTTTAGTTGGGGTTCCAACAGCTTTTAGTACAAAATTACTGACCATGTTTATGCATCTGCACTTGCAAAGCTTCTTAAGCATATTTGTTGGAACACTTTCTGGAAAACTATCCTATAAATCATAGCATGGAAGTATGTTTTGCAGGACATGCCCACAAGCAGCTTACAGAAAAACTGCTTTTACTGCTGCGCATGCTTTTCATGGAAGGTTTAGCAAACATAATTGCATAGGTATAGTTATAGAGGCTAATCTCTACTACCTGCTTTCCAGAAAGACTAGAGCAACCTGTTTGGTAAAGAGTTTATTTTTTCAGTGGAAAAGAGAATGGGAATAAATTCTCAAGAAAAGAAAGGGCCTCATCCAAGCTTACTGTGTCTCAGTGATTAATAACACAGACCTACCTTAGTCTTTGGCCAGCCTCGTGTCACTCAAAGTGTTATGCCTAGTACAAGCTAATTCAAACTTCAATCTGCAAAAGTTTCTCTCGTCTCTTGAGGTCCTATGTAAAGAGAAAAAAAGTCAACCCATATCCTGTTATTAAATATTATGAAAGAAAAGAGATGAGATTTGCATGTAGACCTGTATTGGGAGCACATTCCATTATTGATATGAGTTATTTATTTATTTTTTTACTCGTTTTCCTTCAGCTACATTCTTGAACTTTTGACTGTACTCAATAAAATTGACTGAGAAATATACTTTATGTTTTAGGGGATATGCACTATTCCAGGTTATTATCTAGATATACGTTCTAAAATAAATCTTGTAAGTCTATCCTTACCGTACAAAGACTGATCTCTTGTAGAGGCTGAACTGGTCAGGGACTAGTCTTGGGAAAAATGTTATTGAATATTATGTTAGTGATCCTGGCAAAAGTAAGTGCAGGCTAATGACATTTTGAGAGTTATCAGCAATAAATAAGATTAGAAAGTTATATAGGAAGAGCTAGATGACCTTGAAGGCTAGAATAATAGAAGTGAAACTGAGTTTAGTACAGTTCAGAACAAGATCATGTAAAAAATGTCCAGAAAAAAAATCAATCCTGAAAATTGGGAGGGAAATTTGAAATAATAGACTAAAATCACCTGAAGTATTGGGAGAAAGCTACTTAATTAGTTTCAAAAGCATTTTGATAAGTTTATGATTAGGAAAATGCATTGTTGTTATCTGCAGTAGCAGAGGCCTTGACTTGAGAGATCCAGGGGTCCTTTCAAGCCTGAGTGGTTTGATTGATTTGATTAATGCTGTTGATTAATGCTGCTCCTCCCTCCTCACTTTATGAGTGCGAGAACTAGTCTGAAATTCTCTAAATTGTGTATTCCCTTCCTACTCAATGGCCAGAAGCATTGTGTTACCTAGTTTTTCAATTGTCTAGTGCTGTCAAGAATTACTAATTCAAAACTGGATCCTTCTGAAAATACTTACAATTCAAACTGCTGATGGCTTAGTCTGTTTGACAAGTCAGCTCCTACAGGAAAAGAACAGAAAATGAAGCAGGCAAAATACAGAAAGAGAAATAGTCTTTCTGCCTGATTGAAACCTTATTGAAACCAAGCTGGAATTGGATCAGGGTTCCTTTTAAGGGAAACAATACCGCTGCTTCTATGTATTGGGTCATACACTATGTATCAAATCACTCAAGACTACTATTTCTTCTTTAGCTGACTCAGAGCAAAGGTCCAAAAAAGGAAGACACGAGAGAGCTAAAGATTTTCTTTGTTTGCTTTTGTGTTTGTAGGGAGCAAGCTGTGTAACCCCAGAAGACAATTTCCAATATTATTTACATGCCTGAACAGTTTTGGTCAGCGTGACCCTATAAGGACATTGATGGTAGGCTGAAAAACGTCACAGCTCCTCAGTATATATCATGATAAATTCAAATACACGAAAATTCTACTCTTGGGGGTGAATCCACTTCAGAAACTCCCAGACCTAATAAGCTCTCAGGTGCTGTCCTTCTGCCTGGAATACCAGGCATTTTGCACAGCTTCCAAACAAGACTACTAGAATCTTACATGCCAGTAAGTTTCAGAAAATTATGCATCAGAGATCCTGCTATATAAAGAGGATGCCTGAAGTAAGGTGGAATCAGACTCCGCACACAACTATATTATTTATTAATATGGGAGCTATAGTCACAGAATGTTTTAAATTTTGAAAACTGAAAACTCATAAACTGACTCAGAAATAAGCTGCCAATATTTTGGAACATAAGAATCCACATCAAAATGTGGTGATCCTGGGCAGGTTTGGTCAGATGTTCTCCCTGATTATTTCACATGCAGAGAGCTATATCAGATAGAAGGACTGATTAATTTTTCCAACACACACACAGTATGCCCTAAAACTAGATAAATCATCATTTCAACTGCTTGTGTCTAAAACACAATAAATCTAACAATGTGAACTGTGCTATGTCCTTATGTGATGGAAGAGTGATGAGTATTATGTAGACATGCCTGTATGTGTGATTATTTTGTTATATTTCAAACTGCACTGAGCTTATTTTTTTTAAAGATTTTTTTCTTGCAAGCATGTGACGAAGAAAAGAAGTTATCCTCTTTGTGGAAAAGAGCAAGACAATGTAAAAACAGAGGTTAATGTGGAAACAGCAGGGGATTAAACATGAAATATACGCTACCTAATAGTTTTCAAGATGGGAACGACAACCAAAGCAGACCAAAGCTGCTTGGCAGACCAAAGCAGACCAAAGCTGCTTGACCAAAGCAGACCAAAGCTCGGCAGTTTTGAGATATGTATCAAGATAGTTCCAATAAGAAAGCACATTTTAATGACGATGCAAAGTTCACAAAAAGAAAAAAAAATGAAGACATTAAAGAATTTCAGAAAGTTAAAGAGTAAGCATTTGTTAACAAACTAGCTCCTTAACTGAGAATTTAAAAGAAAATTTTTCAGCCTGTCTGTATTTCCAAATAAAGTCTTCAAAGTGCATTAACTTTCACATTACAATTATTACTTATAATAGCTTGTAATCTTCATACTGTTCCTATCTGTCTCTTGACAAAACATTATGCTTTGAAAATGTCTTATGAGTATCCATAGTCGTACTGCAAAGAGTAATATGAAGAGGTTTAAGTTCTAAATAGGATTCATGTTACATGGTAAGTGGCAACTGTGCACTTGCAGTTACACTTGGTAGCTCCATGGTGGAGCCAAAAGCATGAGCTTTACATTTGCTGCTGCGAGATGATCAGAAACTTTTATGCCACTGTGAGAGGATCCAGCTTCCTACAGGACCAGTTTGTTCTGCCATACCCTATGTAGCAGTGATTTCTTAGCCCAATCTGCAATTGAAGACGTGTTTCAAAAAATCTGTTTCATTAACTGAAGTAGTTTATTGTTTATGCAGAATGCCAATCTCATTGCTGCTGAATGCAGATTATATCTCAGGTATACTGCAGCAAGTGAAAAACTCCTTTTTCAGAAAGGAAATCATACAAACAAATCCTTTCCATACAGATTTTAGACTGCAATCAAGTGTGCTGGGTACAGCAGCATCTCTGATTTTAGAAAAATACTTTTAGATAGCAATGAAAAATATGATTCAATATAAAGCATCTTAACTAAGGTCTTAGGGAAAAAGTAATGGCATATGGATTTTTTTTTTAATACTGAAGTGATATATAATGATTTAGATTAAGTATACAAATCAATCTCTTTTTAAAGGATCACCAAAAATTAGCTTCATAAAGCAAGGACTACTATTCCCTGTTCACAGATATATTTTAATATACAAAGCACTACATATATCAGGTTTTAGTGAAGGCTTACATTCATTTCCATAATCTAAAGCTATTCTCCTCTTTAAAATTATATTTAGTATAAGGATTATAAATACTAATGCTCAGACACACATGAAAATAATATGACTAAAAATAATGATGCAGAATAAGAACAATTCTAGGATATTGTGTAGTAGCTATGTATTGCTCTTCCATTAAGAAAAAAAAGTATAAAACTGAGGTCATGTGTGAAGCTCAATGCCACTCTTCGTGTCCTGTCAAGCTAGGTTAGTCTCAGAAGGAGAATGAGTACTTCCTAAAGCATCTCTTCTTGTCATGAAGGAACTACCCAATACCAGTTCACTGCTTTGGTTATGAATTCAAGGAAACAAGAGTTCAGATGCCAAGTTACTACTCTACGCGAAACACCGCAAGACTGTTACAGACAGCTGACACCAGCCCGCTCAATACAGGTTTAGGATGACAATTGCTTAAACCAACTAACAGATAAGTGCTCGAGGGACAGGGCTTGTTTTATTGCATGTTCAGCTTCTGACTGTGCAATTTTATGAGTTTGTGAACCTTAACTTTGAAATCTTCTAAAAATCATACTGTCAAAAGAACTTGCTTATGCCTAATTAAGGTGGGTTTTTTTCTTTTTTCTTTCTTTCGTTTGTTGTCGGGTTTTTTTTTTCCTAGGGGAAGCAAAGAGCACTTGGAGGTGAAGAGTCCAGGTTTCAATTCCTAATTACAGCTGGAGAAGATTCTTTGGATGTTGCTCGAGTTTTGCATGGCTGATGCAAAGAACTAACAGCTTCCTCCCAGGTTCCAAAGTGTCTTCACTGATAGGAACGAGGAACACAAACTAGTAACAAATTTCTTCCTCATTTAAAAGCAGCAGCAGGATGTCACTTCTGCAAAATTCTGGAAGTATAATTTTCTGGGCTGTGCCCTGAAAAGATACTTATAAAGGCAAATGAGCTACAAAAATGTGTTAAATGTTCATTTTTATGTATGAGAGTCATTCACTATGTTAGCAATTAGGAGTTTAACAAATTTTAGATTGTATTTGCAACTGGCATGCACATGCTGTACTCACTTTTGAAGGACTACTCCCTGTTCAGAGGTGGATATATAATATTAACAGAGTAAATTTTCATACATAGCTGTTGGCCTCTAATACTAAATCCACCTCCATTCATTTAAACATGAAGGAAAACTAGCTATTGAAATGTACATTGAGAGCTAGCAGCAAATTTCCACTTGTCTTAGTGTTAGAGGTTAAGTAAGCTCTGAAATAAGAGTCAGTCCTGAGGAGTACTGTTTGAACTAAAATATACATTCTAATTTGTAAGCTCTTCGGTTAAGAGATGTATCTGCTTACACAGTTATTCATAGACTGGAGAGAAAGAGCTGGAAGTATACTACAACTAAGGTGAGAGTGAAGGCTCTCAGCACTAAGTACAAGATACTATGCCAACCGCCTGGAGAAAAGTAAAGATGCAACTGTAAATTGAATAGAATTATAAAATTGCAAGCTGCCTTTAATTACATACATTGCCATTAGTGATAAAGGTCACAGAGACCTACTTCAATTACAGAAGATTTCAGGATATCGGAACAACGCTCTGCAGTTCTTCTCGCAGCGCTCTGTTACGGTGAGAGCGCTGCAGACGTACAGCTATTTGAATAGCCGATGCAAAGTAAAAGACTTGTTTTTGCAAAATAGCGCACGACATTCCCCTAACAGAGGAGGCTAGCCATGGAGGCAGGCTGCGTCTCCAATGATGATGATAACGAGCCAAGGATCTCAGAGACCGGCTGGACATCAAGAAGGTTGTTACGTTAGCAACAGGGAGAAAGGGTGCTGGGATGACAACTGTCACACAAACTCCTTCTCAGCATACTGCAAACAAGTTCAACTGAGCTGACAAGGAAGGCAGAACAGTTCCACTGTACTGCTTATATAACCCAGGACAGTTATTTCATTAAGGACAAGAACTGTTATGACTCATGAGAAGAACATAGGCATTGCCTGAAACCTGGCAGAACAAGTCAGATTATTGTAATGTTAAAAGTCACTGAAAAGCTGTTAACAAAGATAGAAAAGGTTAAAAAAATGTCAGGCAGGCAGTCTACACTAGACAAATCTGTAACTGAATCAAGTACTCATAATTCAGAACCGTAAGGTATATGGATCACTGTAATAAATAAAAAAGTCCATGTCTAAGAAACTGTGGTAATTAAGGAAGCTCATAAAAGACTTGTTTTAAAAAAGTATTAACAGGACAAGATAATTTTTAAGTATCTTTCTAGCATGCATAAAGAAAAACTGTATTTTGGGAAAAACAGTCTCATCAATGTATATAGGATACCAAATAGCAAAACAGTAGCAATTCTAAATGAAGCAGATAACTACCTGCCTCAAAGGATACTGCATTTAATTTCAGGTCCAATTTACTTTCAACCTCATTATTTTGAATAAAGGTTAATCAGTAATGGAATTGAACATTTTTTCAGAACCTGGAAACCAATAGCAATGATGCAGCTCCAAGGGTATTTCTCCAAGGGTAAAAACAAACAAACAAACAAACAAACAAATAAAACCCCGTCCCAACCACTAAGTGTATTAGCACATAAATTTCCAAAAGACTGAATTTCCCCAAACTGAAGACAATCACAAGCAAAATATGTTAGAACATAAAGTTTAAAGAGAAAGATGCTCCCCCAAATCTGACATTCTTTAAAAATAATACAGTTGTTAAAGAGTAAGAACCATCAGATAACAATTCCGTTATCAAGACGAGAACTACAGCTGACAGAGCATCCTGATTCAAGACAAAGCAAAGACCAGTACTTAATAAAATAATAGCAAGAAGGAAATAGGTGATAAATCACTATCAAGGTCAAATTTACAGGATATAGACATTGGATAAAGGAAGTTAAAGACCTCAGGGGAAATGCTTGGCTGAATGGGCTTAGAGAAAGCTAGAAGATTTAAACATTACCAGATCAAATACATTGGTGGCAATTAGGTCCGTTTTGTGGTGAATACAGCAAAATAACTCCTGATGGTGAGAGGCCAAGCTGCTTTTTTTCCCTACCACAGTCACCAGTAGTGGTCATTCAAGTAGTTTCTAAGTACTTTCACAGGGAGAAAACACCATGTATGTTACCTAGAAAAGAAAGGATTAAGAAACAGGCACTGAAAGTTAAAAGTCACAAACTCTAATGAGAAAATGCATACGTTTTCAACAATGAATATGATCGGCTGTTGCAATATACTATTAACAGGACAGGTGGACTCACCAGATGCTTCTCTGGAAGACATGCTTTATCTGAGAATATTACTGGATTCAGTACAGGGTATCTTGGCAAAACATAATGACCTGTAACTATACATGTCAGGCTAAATGAGCCAATAATACCTACATTCAGTGAAACTTCGAATACTATTGCAATAGCCTCTTCTCCTGTTCTGCTTACTCAAAGAGATAAATCCCTGGGTCTGCTTCACGTTGTTAATCTATTTGCAATTTCGCTTAGAAAATATATCGACTGAATAGTTTCAGTGTCAGAATGTTCCTTTTTCTTCAAGCCTTTATACCTCTGCTAAGCACCTACGGCTTTTTCTGTGCTAAAAAAAAATAATTTTACTTCTTTTAATATGTCAGGATTCATGGGGCCTCTTCATCTTCTTAAACCTGAACTGGCACAAGGATCAGGAGAGGAACTCCAAACTTGTGGAAGGCTTTTATATTCTGTCCTACATAGCATTTGGGAAGCTTCTTTGCAGAAATTTTTAGTTTCTTGCGACTCTTTTTGTGTCTTCAGCACTAATCACATTTCAGAAAAAGTTATCTGTATGAAAAATAAATTATTGAAAAATGAAGTTTCCTTTTCCTTACAGATCTTCTCACACTAAGTACCTCAGCTGTCACTCTAGTTTGTTCAGGCACAGTGAAAAAATGTTTTTATTCATTTTTATGAAGTTTTGACTATGCTGTTGAATACAGAAAAAGGCAGGAAACCAAATAATATGAAAACATCACAGTTAGTGCTTAAAATACGAAATTTCTGTCTGTAAAAGTACAGTTTCATGAGCTGATAGCACCAAAACTAAATTAAAGGAAAATTCTTGTTAAAAAGCCTGAATGAACAACTTTGCTGATAATCTGGTGTGAAACTGTGACAATCAGTCCCAATTTAAGAAAGGCATGATGATGCCCTCCATCTAATGGGTTGCCTGTATTAAAGTACTCCAATATATTTTGAACTTCAAGGCACATGCTTTGATGCTCCTTCTAAATGTGGAAGCTGGCCTGTACTAAGAATTTATACAAATGAATTAAGGGGTAGTGAAATTAAAGTGGAAATTACAACAATATTACAAATATTAATAACCCTTCCTTACCCCTCACCATATTATGAACATGTTATTAGCAATGGCATCCAGAACTGACTGGGGCTTCTGGGAGCTGGGAAACTGAAGGACACTCACAGAAAACATCGCATGAAAATGTATCCAAAGTGCTGATTCCTACTTTAAGAATTGTAAAAAAAAGTTGTGATCCCAGGCTTACTGGCGTTCCTTTCAGAAGCTAAACAAAAGACTAGTCTATAAAATTATGTACGACATACATACACAAACGTGCGTTAGTTACTGCTTTATGCAACATATAAAATTCCTTTCTTTGTAATGCTTAGAGGCTGAAAACATTTGTTTGATTTTTTCGCAGGTCTTCACTCGAATTTAAACTCTCCTTCAGGGCTATCAGGTGAACTGCCCAGAAGATCAACAGAGCTTGAAATACAGCAGGTGCTGAATGCATGTTCTCTCTTGCCAATAGCTTCAGCATGTAGCAAACTTGCCTTTATTGGCTTCTAAGGCAGTGAATCTGCCCTAGTTTTCACCGCAGCCTCAGGCATGCTGCTGATCATTTAGATTTAAACTTACTGAAAGTTGTAAATGCATCTCACGCTGCAGCTACCTGTAGCTTTTCAAAAAGATGCAACTGGTAAGTCAATCCAAAAATCTGGCCAAAACTTAGTCGCAACAAATTGCATTTAATCTGGCTACTGTCCGGATGATACAAAAGAGCTTTGTTAAAAATACATCCCCAGACTTTGGAGGAGAATATGGAAGAATGACTGATCAGACTCAGCAGCTGCTTGCAAAAAATACTTATTTTCTCTAAATAAGGAAGTATCTAATCACTTAAGGTATTTTACCATTTTATATAACCTTAGAAAACAATAAGGTTACTACTGTTTCCACATTCTAGCAAAGAAATCCATGTAATATCTGGCTGTTACGGTGTTTCTCTCCAAGTGTTTTGATTTTTGTCCTTTCTCAGTGTGCTATAAAGATGGGTAACTATTTGTGAGGGTGTTGTTTTAAAGGGCTAAACTAGATACTCTCTAACGCATCCAGTTATTCTCTTTTTGTTTTACATATGTGAACATTTAAAACACAGGCACAGGCATATTTTCTGAAGGACATTCCTGTTTGCCCTGTACTCAGTCCACTGCAATTATGAATGAAAATTTCTCTTAAACTACCTTAACCACAGTTGTGTTTATTCTTAATGAACAATAAGCAAAAACAAACACTCTCTTCCACTAATTCTTAAAACCAGGTATTTGTTTATATATTTTTGGAAAAATACACCCAAGGATTTGAAAGACAAATAATTGGAATTTATAAACTGCAGACTTGTCCTAAATTGCTATAGAATTTGCTGTTAAGAATATTGATTTGGGGAATATTTGGTGAAGATGTGAACAGCTACAATGTACAATTATGCACATACCTAATATTCAGGACTGACAGGATTATCTCTATATGCAAGTTGTAATTATAACTGATTATGATAAAATTTATCTATAACCTAGACTGTTTCTTTTTGAGTGTTGGGAAACAAAGAAAAATAAAAGAAAGAAAGATACCATACCAGTACAACAAGAGATCAAATTAGTCCAGTACTAGAAGATTAAACCACTTTTACACACTCCAATCATGCTAGCATTTGGAAAAGAAAATACTTAGTATTCCAAAGTCACTTGTTCAACAAATTTTGAAGACATTTGAACTTTTTACTTACGTTATTTATAGGGATACTTTTAGTGCTGGAATTTACATTACTTTAATTCTGTAACTTCATGTGCCAGTGGACTGATGTGCCTAAGGGAGCATCCAAAATATAAAACTGATAAAGACCAGATTGGCTGCAGCAGCAAGCTTAGTCCATCTTACCGACAGAGGTCACTTCCATTAATATTGTATCTTAATAACTATGCTCTCAGACTGGCACAGAGCCTTGCACATTAGCTTTTCTCATGAACCCTACGATTTAAAGTTGTTTATAAAAAGGGCAAAAGCATGACACACAGTTATAAAAAGGCATACTGCATGCATTAAGATTGGTCTTTTACTTCAGTACACATGCTTCTAAAACATAGGCTTCCCATCCTTATTCCTTTAGGCCGAAGGTGAAGGAACAGCGTAGATCTTGAAGCCAAAATTCACAATAAAAAGTTTTCTATTATCCCTAGAGCAGCTCCCTCTGGTGGACAATCAATAAGGTTTGCTGATGATTGTCAGGAAGTCTATGTCAAGGATCGGATTCCATCAACTGTTACTGCTCTGCTCTTGTACTTCCATGATCACAGTAATCAGGATTATTCACATCTGAAAATCTGGCAAGCAGGTGACTGCTCCCGACCCCATAGCTATTCAGCCCTGTAATAGTAATGCCTAGAGTCTTACAGGTGCTACTACTCGAAGGCCTTAACTGCATGCCCATGCTCTTCCTCTCCCAAATTGACAGAGTGCAACGCATTTCATGATAGCTTAGAGTAATGCTTCTTTGTTTGCAAGTAACAATATAATTCTCCTATCAACTTCCGACTGAGAAGATGATCAAAATCTAGAATTTTAAAAACTAAAGCATGTTTGATTAAACCAGCGCATTTCACCACAGAAGGCGGCAAAGGGACCTTCACTGTCAGTTACTAGCTGATACCTTGCTGGGCCTTAGTAACTTAGTTTCTTTGATTGTCTACTCTTGCCCTAAGGATTTTCACTGTGGTTTTTTATTGCTCCAACAGTCTAGATTACACACAGCTTCTAAATTCTGAGAAATACTTTCTGTCCCCCTTTCTTGTTTAGGAGAGGCACAAAAGGCTGAGGACAGGAAATGTATTTCTCCTTTGTCCCCTGCCTAGCTTCTTCCCACAGGCAGGTTCTTCATGGTCTGAGGATTTTCCTGTTGTGAATTTCCAAGCTTTATGATTATTTTTTGTGCCAATTAATCTGTAAAAGTAGTACAGACCATGAGCTGTTTGACCCTTCCAGACCTCAAAATTATTTCTACATCACGAATGAAATATTATTCTGCTTAACTATGCGAATACAAGTTTCAGAAGAAGGAAAAAGAATTCCAATTTACATGAAAAACTTGAATGCTGTTGCAGCTAGATATAAACATTGTTATAAAAGTGTTTTAAGCCTGTTGTTAACTGCTGCTGAGCAATTGTCAGACTAGTTCCACTGTCATCCAGGGTAGCACTTGCAAGCACAGAAAATATATCTGGAAAAAGATAGATTAAAGATGCATCACTGACTTAACACTGCGAAATCTATGTCATTCATAAGGACTGTTTTCCTTTTTCATGTTGCGATTGCCTATCTCCAGGGCATCAGAAAATTTTCACCAACAAACTGAATTGTCCTTGAAGAGTCATAGTAGAACTGAGAGAGAAAATGAAAAATAAGCACCAGAACTCATTTGCATTCTGATGTCTCAACTGAGGGACTGGAGTAACAGAGGGTCGTTTTTTCCTTACACAGTAGCTTCTCTGTCCCTTACAAGTGGATTGCACATTTTGGTCACACTGAAGACCCTCTCTCCCAGACATTCACTTTGCTGATAGAAGCTTGCTAGTGCATCAGAGCAGCCGTAATATGGTAGATCAAAGACCCAATTAAGTCCCAAATCCTGCTGCATCCTTGTCACCCTTAGCCAGGCAGACCTACTCTATTTCTTCTTGAGAAGATGGACCAGAGCACTGTGTTTTCCAAAGAAGGGTATATCATAATTTTGGAGAGTGGCCGAATTTTTTTTTTTTGGTTGGTCCTCCACTTTTCTTAACATTCAGTTTGCTTTTTCAGAAC